CTCCTCCTCCTCCTCCTCCTCCCTCCTCCTCCTCCTCCTCCTCCTCCGCGGGGGGCGTGTCGCTTGACGCGCACCATCTCGCGCGTTGTTGGGAGTGCACAGCATCTCACTGCAGGCAGGCGGGCCCGATGCGGTTGCCTGGTGTGCAGGCATCCCGCTGGCGCGCGGCATGCCCGATGCGGTTGCTGCTGTGCAAGCATCCTGCTGCGCCACCGAGCGGTGGTGCGCGTGCGGAAATGTGTGCGGTGTTTTTTATGTGAACGAGCATGGGCCACCGAAGGCTGACAGCTGCCCTTGCCCCGCCGTCTATCCACCTGCCGATGCTGAACTCCTCTGTTTTTTGTCACGGACCTGCGGCTGATGGAAACCATCGTGCAGCTGTTGTGTTGATTTTTGAGCTAGCCCCCCGCGCCCCCAGTTCACTATTGGTGGGCTGCGCCACGATGTGTCGATCTGTCGACTGGCCGAGATCGTGCGCTTCGCTGGCGATGCCAGCCACCTTTGTATCGGAGGCAGGGGGGGGGCGCTGAAGTTTGGCGCCGACCCCTGCCGCGTGGGTGGTGCAGGATTTTGTCCATCAGCTGGGAGGGGGTTTGGTCGACTGCAGCTTGAGCCTACGGTCAGGAACGTTTGCTCAACGTGTCACTCTGGTGTTTCTGGCCCACCACGCCAGAGCACCCCCCTCCCGAGGCCCACCGGGACTGGGCCCCTGGGGGGTCCACATTGAGCGCAAAGCTGGGGACACCTCGGGCCAGGGCCAGGGCGAGGAGGAGGAGGAAAGGGGAGGGGGCGGGAAAGAGGGGGAGGAGCGAGAGAGGGGGCAGGAGGGAGGAGGCAAAAGGGAGGAGAGAGGAGGGAGGAGGGAGCAGGAGGAGCGACGAGGAGGAGGAGCGAGGAGAAGGAGGAGGAGGAGGAGGAGCGATAAGGAGCGAGCAGGAACGAGGAGGAGCGAGGACGAGGAGCGAGGAGCGAGGACGAGGAGCGAGGAGCGAGAAGGAGGACGAGGAGGAGGAGGAGGAGAGAAGGAGATGAGGAGGAGGAGGGGAGGATGAGGAGGAGGAGGAGGAGGAGGGAAGGAGGAGGAGGAGGAGGAGTTGGGAGGAGGAGGAGGTGGAGGAGAGGAGAGCAGGAGGAGGAGGAGGAGAAGGAGGAGGAGGAGGAGGAGGAGGAGGAGGAGGAGGAGGAGGAGCGAGGAGGAGGAGCGAGGAGCGAGGAGCGAGCAGGATCGAGGAGCGAGCAGGATCGAGGAGCTGAGGACGCGTGGGGCCAGGGCCGCCTCCAGCAACGCCCGACCCACAAGCTCCGACGCAGCCTGCACGAGCGCTCCGCCGTCGCGGGGGTGCGACGGGGACATCGGCTTTGGGCTTCCAGGTAAGACGAGGCCAGGACGAGGATAACATCGGGCGAGGACAAATCGAGAAGCTCTGGGATCCGGCGGCTCTGGAGGACGTCTCGGGCGCCGCGGCCCTCTCAGAGCGCTCCGGAACGCTCTGAGAGCGTTCCGGAAAGCTCTGGAGTGGATCTATCCTCGTCCTTGCCTTAGGACGGGCCTGTCCCCCTACAGGCGGATTTTGAACGAACCAAAACAAATCAAAAATGTCAAACAATACTCCCAAAATAGTCCCCAGACTATTCTTGACAATTGTTGAGTATATATATATATATATATATATTCCCCGTAGAGGGACGGGCCCGACATCATCCTTGCCCCGTCCGACCAGAGGCAGCGCCCCGAATGAGCTTCAGCGCCACGCGTACAGCTGCGCAGACGACCCCCACGCTGCCTGCTCGGCCCAACGACCGCAGCCGCGCCTGCGACAATGTCCTCCTCCTCCTCCTCCTCCTCCTCCTCGTCCTCCTCCTCCTCCTCCTCCTTCCTCTTCCTGCTCCTCCTTTTATTCTCTTATTCTTCTCCTCCTCCTCCTCCTCCTCCTCCTCCTTCCTCCTCCTCTCCTCCCCTCCAAGAAACCTCATATGGTTGAGGTGTTTCCACTACGTACTTCCTCCTGGTCCTCACCATCATGGAGGCTCTAATTTGTGGTCTGAAATCAATAAGTGTCGCATTCGCTACGCGAAGGCTGCAATCCCTCAAATCCATCCACTCCTGAAATCATGTTGGGATTGATTCATGGGTCCAATCCACAAGGGCAATATGTTCGCGCTTGCGCTGAGCGAATCGCGAATCACTTCGCACTCCCGCGCGATCCCCCCCGCCGGGGGAGAAGAGGAGGGCGAAGACGATGAGGATGAACAATCGCGAATCGCGAGCCGTGAACCATTTTGCGCCCTTGTGGCGGCCCTTGAAGGCGGCTCAGAAGTCAAATGACTTATGAGCAGGCGGGGGCCTTCTGTGAGGGCCCGGAGGCGTCTTAGAATCAGAAGGAGGGGCCGCCACGAGGTCGCGAAGCTACTCACGGCTTGCTTTTCGCGGTTCCTCCTCATCATCCTCGTCCTTCTCATATTTCCTAAGGGGGCCGACGCAAGATCATAGAATAATGCGCGCTTCTTGCTTCGCGCTTCGTGAATTCAGCTGTCCTTTTAGAACCCCCCGAAGCCCTTCCTGTGAAGCACCCCTGCCGTCTAAGAAGCCCCGCCGCCTTCTGAGGAACCGCACCGCTCGCCTCCTCCTCCTTCTCCTCCTCCTCCTCCTCCTCCTTTTCCCTCACCCTCTCGCTCCTCCTCCTCCCTTCCTTTCCCCTCCCACTCCTCCCCTCCTCCTCTTCCTCCTCTCTCCCCTAACCTCCTCCTCCCTTAATCCTCCTCACTTCCTCCATAATCCTCTCCTCCTCCCTCTCATCCCCTCCTCCTCCTCGCTCCTCGCTCCTCCTCCCTCCCTCCTCCTCCTCCTCCCCTCCCCTCCTCCTCCTCGCTTCTCCTCTCCTCGTTCTCCCTTTTTTCTCCTTCTCCTTCCTCCTCCTCCTCCTTCTCCTCCTCCTCCTCCTTCGCCTCGTCCTCGTCCTCGTCCTCGTCCTCGTCCTCGTCCTCCTCCTCCTCCTCCTCCTCGCTTCTCGCTCCTCCTCCTCCTCCTCCTCCTCCTCCTCCGCCTCCTCCTCCTCCATCGCCCCCTTGCCGCCAAACTGGCGTCCAGGCCATATCTCGACCTCCAGCGGCCGTTCGGGACGACTCGCCACCCCCAGGGAAAGCTCTTGCCGAGGCGTGGCCGATGGCCCCCCGGGGGCCACAAAACTTTTGCGAACCTTCGATGCTCGTCGATCCTCCCCATTCGGCGAGCGCTTGCCGGGCCCTCCTTGTACCCGACCAGGTAGGGCACCGGAGATTTGGAGAAAGAGGGAGAAGGGATGAGGAGGAGATCGAGGAGGAGTTTGAAAACGAGGAGTAGGTCGAAGAGTTGGTGTAAGAGGAGAATAAGGAGGAGGAGGAGGAGGAGGAGGAGGAGGAGGAGGAGGCGGAGGAGGACAGGGAGCAAGGAGGAGGAGGTGGAGGAAAGAGGAGGAGGAGGAGGAGGAGGAGGAGGAGGAGGAGCGAGGAGGATGAGGAGGAGGAGGGAGGAGGAGAGGGAGAAAGGTGTAGAGAGGGAGGAGGAGGACGAGTCGGAGAAGGGGAGGAAGAGGTGTTGAGGAGGTGGAGGGGGCCCGCGGGACGACGCGGCGAGAAGGGGTCCTCCTTGTAGCCGACCAAATACGCCTTGGCGGCGTTCAGGCCGTCGAGCTCCGCGCGCCTCTTCGCGCGCCTGCTCGCGGATGCGGCCTCCTCCGCAATCGCCTCCTCCTCTGCCTCCTGAACACGCTGGTCCTCATCCTCCTGTTCCCACTCCTCATCCGCTGATTACGATCACCTCCCGCTCCTCTTCCCCCTCCTCAGCCTCCCCCTCGCTTTCCATCTCCAGTCCCTTGTCCTTACAAACAACTCCATCCCTGTCGCACCCCGCAACCTGTCGGTAGGGCGGTCCGTGCGTTGGCGCCGCGCACATTCGCCTTAAAACTTGGCAGACAACTTCACGGATTGACGGCGGGCCGTTTCCAATGCGGGCGGAGGAGCGCCTCCAAAACATTGCAAACAAAAAGCACGGATGGACCGCGGTTCCTTCCCAGCATGTGGTTCCCGCCTTGGCGCCGCGCAAATGCATTTTGAACAATTGCAGAAACTTCACAGATGGAGGGCATTACCTTTTCAACATGTGGCTCTCGACCTAGCGCCGCGCATATTCGTCTTGAGAGTTCCAGCAGTTTCACGGATTCGTACGGTCAATTTTCCAGGAAAGTATTTTGGAGTGGTGCAGGACTGTCCACCGCACCTGTTACACTGATTCGCGGTGTTGAAGTCCCAGGAATTGTCAACTTGCGCGGCTCAGGATCGTCATGGCGAAGAAACTGGGATTGACTCGCGGCATTGAAATCCGAGGAGTGGTGCTCTGGCACGCTTCAGGATTTTCAAGCGGTTCTCTTCCAACGGGGCACTTCTTTAGTGGAAATGACCCCGTTGCAAGGGCCTGCGAAAAAGGAGCTCGGAGGGAGGGTTACTTGTAACATCGTTGAAAACTCCTGGGTTTACACTGGTCCTCCTCCTCCGCCTCCTCAGGCCCCCTCCTCGTCAGCCACAAATTCCTCCTCGAAACTGGATGCTGCGGACAAGCTCGCGCTGTTGCGCCGACGCCCTCACAAAACCTGCCCCGCCGTCAACGGGGGGAGGGCGAACAAGAACCAAGAAGTAAGAATGAAGGGGCCCTGGGACACACAAATAAATACACACAAATAAAAAGATGCCCCATATTTTCTTATATTTTCTGGGTTTCTGTCTTCCCTCCACTTCCCATATTTTCCCATATTTTCCTGGGGGTCGACAATCAATTGTGTCTGTGTGTTTTTTCCCCTCCTGAAAGAACGAAAAGAGAGCGGCCGACGGATAGACGGATCACGATGAAAAAAAAACGACGGGGAGGGGGGAGGTGTGGTGACGCTTGCGGCGCCTGTGTGCGCCGGCGCTGTGCGTGTGCGAACGTGGCCCGAGCGTGGGCCCCAGCCCCCTGGGGGGAGCCGAGGCCCTCCTGCTCCTCCTCCTCCTCGTCCTCCTCCTCCTCCCTTCTCCTCGTCCTCCTCCTCGTCCTCTGCCTCCTCCTCCTCGTCCCCCTCCTCTCCCTCGATGACCTGCTCCTCGCCCTCGTGCTCCGAACCCTCATCCTCCACGAACTCCCCTCGCCCTCATCCTCTTCAGCCACCTCCTCGTCCTCCAACTCTTCCTCCTCCATCAACTCATGCCCCTGTCTGCTTCAGCTCTTCGTGCTCCTCTCTCCTCCATCGACTTCTCCTCCTCCTCCTCCTCCTTCTCTCCTCCTCCTCCTCCTCCTCCTCCTCCTCCTCCTCCAACTCATCATTCACCAACTGGTCCTCCTCCACCAACTCCGCCTTCCCCTCCTGGTGCTGGTCCTCCTCCCGCTCCTCCCGTCCCTCTGTCATCGTCGTCGGGCATCGAGGATCTAGGAACTACGATATGGATTTGGGGGTGCAGTTTCTCGGCCAGCGCGGCGCCAGTCGCGAGCGCGCGCGTTCCCAGCCAAGTGCGTTGCGCAGCTGGCGCCCCCAGCGCTAGGCGAGCGCCCTGGCCGCGGCCTCGGCGGCAGCGTCGTCGCCGAGCTGCTGTGCCCGGTCGCGCACCAGCTGTCGCAGGCAGCGCAACGCTGTTGGCCCGTGCTGGCCCCTGGTCGTCAGCGCCAGGAGGACTGGTCAGCCAGGGGGCCCGGCATTCCGGTTAGCGCCCGCGCTTGTCTTAGGAAACCCGAAACGGTGCGGTGACGGACCGTGCGGTGACCTCGACATCCCCCAAGACCTCACCGCACGGTCCGTCACCGCAACGTTTTGGGACCCTGGAGGCCCCTGTCGCCCCAGACATCCTCTGAGAAAAACTGGAGTCCCAAAACCGTGCGGTGAAATCCCCACCGACTCACCACACGCTGTGGTCACCACACCGTTTGGGGGCTCCCGGTTGTCGGCCCCGGCCTCCCGGTTCACCGCGCCGTCGCGCGCTGCCGAGGCGCCAATCGCGCGCTCCTCGCCCGGCGCGCCGCGCCGCACCGTCACGTCGGCGACGGGCCGAAGAGGTACCCCGGCCGCCGGGCCTCGAGGCCGAGGACGCCCCCTTCGCGCTGCGCCGCGAGGGCGGCCCCGCGCGCGCCGCAGAGCCACGCGGGCGGGGCGACGGCGCAGCCGCGCGTGAGCGTCGTGGCCCGGCGCGGTTCAGCGCTATATAGCGCCACCGGCCGGGACGTGCAGCTGCCTTTCCGCGTGGCAGCCGCACTCCTGGTGAACACGTTTTCCACACGCGTCTTCGAGGTCGGGCCCTCGAGCCGCGCGGACGCCGGCATGCGCGGGCGCGCGCCTCCGGGCCGCCCCCGCAGGCGCAGCGGTAATTCAGCGTGCTGCCCTCGGCCGCAGAGCTCGTACTTGGCAGGGCTGCCCGGCGCGCGGCCCAGTGCGGGTCCGGCTCTGGCAGCGGCTCTCCGGCGGCGCGAGATCTCTGGCGCAAAGCCCTCGCCCCAGACCCCCGACGTCGTGATTTTTTCGCAACGTCGACCCCAGAAACCTGGACCCTTTCCCCGGGACCGGTTTTTCATCCTGAGTCGTTTCTCGACGGTCCCGAGGCCCAGTGAAGGACCCTGGAGGCCGAAGGTAGCGAAAAACCTCCCATCGTGATTTTTTCACAACGCGGGGGGGTCTGGGGCCGCTGTGCACCAGTCCTCGTCGCTCCGGCGCTGCCAGTGGCCGCCAGTGGCTGCCAGTGGCCAGCTGCCAGCCCGCGCAGCGCGCGGATCCGCCGCAGGAGCGGAGACGCGCCCGTGCCTCCTGGCAGCCCAAATCGCCCAGAAGGCCTTGTAATTTCTATTGGTCAGGCCTGCGTGCGACCGTCTTCTGGGCCTGCTCCCCAGAGATCCGATGTCGTGATTTTGTCAATACGCGGTCCCCGGAAGTCTCGACCGATTCCCCAGGACCAGCTTTTCATCCTGAGTCGTTTTTTTACGGTCCTGAGGCCCGGCGAGGGCATCCAAGGGCCGAAATTTGCGAAAAACCTCCGTCTTGATTTTTTCAACGCGTTGGATCTCTGGGACAAAAGGCTGTCAGGCGAGCTCCTGCCAGGGAGGCCGCGGCTGCGCGCGGGGGCCGGCAGCGCTGCCGGCGCGTTGTGGCAGGCGCTGGGGCGGGCGGCAGGGCGGAGGCGGCGCCTGCAGGCCCGCCCGGCTCGGGACGCGGCGGCGAGGCTCATCGCCGACGCGGCGCCGCCCGGGCAGCGTCGGCGAGCTGTGGGCCTCGCGCCAGAACGAAGGGGCCCCAGGACACACCAAATGAATACACACAAGTAAAACTATTCCCCATAGTTTCCCATGTTTTCTGGATTTGTGTCTTCCCCCCCCCCCCACTTACCACATTTTCCCATATGTTCTGGGGAATCGACGATTCATTGTGTCTGTGTGTTTCTTTCCCTCCTGACAGGAGGCCGCGCCGCCCAGCCGCAGCGGCAACTGGCGGCGTCTTTTCCGCGCGGCCGCGAGCCGGGCCCAAGCGCTCCAGTTCCGGGTTGGCCGCCAGCGCCGCCCTGTCGTGGAGGCGGCGGCGGCCCGCAAGCTCGCGGCTCGCGGGCGGGCTCGCCCCGAGCAGGTGCGCGAGCCTGCCGCGCCCGCAGCGCGGGAAAAGGAGGCCGGCCGCCCGCCTCGCGGGCGAGCGCAGGGGGATGACGGCGTCGGCAGCGGCGCGAGCTCGCCCAGCAGCGCCGCGGCCTGGCTCGCCGCTTCCGCGGAGCGGTCGGCCGCAAGGGCCGCGGTGCCCAGGGCCGGCCAGCGCTCGGCGCTCGCGGGCGGCCGGTTGACGTCGGGATGCGGCGGCTCGCCCGGGGAGGCGCCGGACACGGTCGGGCCAGCCGCGCGCCACTGGGGCCGCGAGGCCTGCCGGGCAAGGCGCGCGCGCGGACCAGACTTGCGTCTCGTCCGCGCGGCCCGCGCGCGCCCCCCGCCGCCCGGAGAACGTCGGCCGCGAGCCCCGCCGGCACGAGGGCAAGGCCCGGACGTCGCCCGCGCGCGGCCGCCGCGCCGCCGTCGCAGCCGCGCGCAGCGCGTCATCCAGAGTCCTTCAGGCCAGGGTTCGGACCGCAGGCGAGCAGGAGCGGCGAGAGCGGGCCCCCCTGGGCCACTCCGTCCAACTGGTGCCGGGAGTCGCGCTGGCCGAGAAGCCAGGCGACAGGGAGGCCAATTGCTTAAGGCGGCGAGTCCGTCGGCTGGGCACGCGGAGCAGAAAGCGTGTTCGGCGTCCAGCGCCACCAGAACCAAGGCCGGGCTCGCCTCAGGGATGTCCCGGACAGTGTGGGTGAGGAGCTCGGGCCCCGCCTCTGTGCCGATTGCAAACTGCTGCCTCCCCAGGGCCTCCGCGAGCTCGCTCTTCTGTGCGGGGGCCACCAGCACCGCTCGCGCCACTAGCCGACGTAAAAATCTTCGGCGCGGCGATGGGGCGGACCTTGCGCCCAGGCTTGCGCGGCGGGGCCAGCTGGGAGGGCGCGGGGGCGTCGGCAGCGCTGTTCGGCACGCCTCTGGCGGCCAGGCGGTCGCAGATGCCGCAGAAAGCGCCGAGGGCGGCAGGGCCGGGGGCTCCAGCGGAACGTCTGGGAGGAGGACGAGGAGGAGGAGGAGGAGGAGGAGGAGGAGGAGGAGGAGGAGGAGGAGGAGGAAGAGGAGGAGGAGGAGGGAGAGGA